CGAGTTGACCTGACACCTTCTCGGGGTATCGGGGCGGTGGGGGCACGCCCGGCGGCAGCAGCCCCCCCCGGCTGACCAGCCATCAGAGGGCCCACAAAGTACTGGGAGTACTGTAGGCCGTCGTAAGTGGCTGGCAGGCACCCTAGCACCTTGCAGGTGTGGACCACTCTGGTCCTGAACAGCCGGCGGCCCCCCGCGTCCAGACTGAAGTGCGTTGTCTGCAGAGACCACTCGTCCTAGACGTGCTCGCACAACAGGACCTCCATACCTGGTCCCTGCCTCCCGAGTGGAGCCCGCTCAATGGCCCCGGCATACAAGCACACCGGCTCGCCCCCCCCCCCCCAGCATGTCCTCTCGTGAGATTGCCCCGTCCAGAGGTCCCTTTTGCAGCATTTTTTTATGTTTCCTTAGGGTGTCTACCCGGTAAACCTACCGTCCACACTCCTGGTTATATTGGTGGTGGTGGGGGGGGGGGCTTCGGGTGGAGGGCTGTGCATGCCGTCCGGCGGTGCTGGCGCAGACCCTTCTGCTTCAGCCGCTTGCCGCACTCAGGGCAGCCTACTTCATCAGACATCCTGCCTGCAAAAGAAGCAGAATTTATAGGAGAGAGGCAATAACGTCTTGGTCAGGTTAACTTCCGCCTCGCTCGGGTGACCTGGGGCGGTAGTCCTTCTGCTTTCCCCTGGGTGTGGCCCGGCCTGGGGTCGGAGAGCGATTGACCGGGCTCTTCCTAGTTGGGTCGCCTGCTGGTTCCTCCACTGTTGGTGCTTTTGGTGTCATCGACTCGGCTCCATTCTCGTTCCCGTTTGTTGGTCCTCGCCCCTGGTTCCCTGGTCCTCTCCCTCTTCAGGGCCGTCCTTTGTCCAGGGTCTGCCGCCAGATCCTCCGCAGGGGCTTCAGGAAATCCTGGCTTGTGGGGGGGGTGAGTTTGATCCGTCTCCGCCGAGGGTGGACAAGTGGTGGCTCAGCGGGGGGCACCGGTCCATCCCTGCCGTCGGCTCCTGGGCTGCCTTCTGCCACCAACTCGCGTCCACGTCTCCCAAGTAGGGCTTCAGACGGTTGAAGTGGACAATCTGAGCCTAGGCCCGGGGTGACTTCTGTATTGTATAGAATTTATCATTGTTTCTCCTTACCCCGATGAAAGGGCCGTCCCACCAGCACCGTAACTTCAGGGAGCGTCCCACTTTCTTGGAAGGGGTACACAGCCATACCGTCCGGCCTGGCTTGTACCCAGCTCCCTCCGCCCGGCAGTCGTATTGTCGCTTTAGACGTAGTCCTTCCGGAGGTGACAGCGGGCGAAATCATGGGCCCACTCCAATTTGTCCCTTAACTCCTTCACGCAGACGTGAGCCTCTCCTGTCTCTCGCAGTTCCTCCGGCTGGCCCACCACCAAGTCCAGCAAAAGTTTTACCTCACGTCCCAGCATCATCAGTTCGGCGTAAACGTAGTGCTGTCATGGCGGTACGCCATCATAATGTAGGGAAGGTGCTCGTCCCAGTCATCTTGATTCTCCTGGACAAAGAGGCTCAGCATGTTTTTACCGTACGGTTCAACTGTTCCACCATGCCATCCGACTGGAGGTGGAATGGTGTGGTACGTTTTTTGTGGACACCAAGCAACTTGCAGACTCCCTGAAACAGTCCAGCCTCAAATTCCTTTCCCTGATCGGTGTGAATTTCCAGGGAATACCAGAACTGGTGATCACCAGTCCCACCAACACTTAGGCGACTGTCTCTGCTGTCTCGTCCGGAATGGGGAACGCCTCCACCCACTCGGTGAAATACTCGGCGACTACCGTGATGCTTGTGTTCCCCACCTTCGTCCTCGGTAACCATGCAGTAATGTCAATAGCCAGACGCTTCATTGGGGCCCCGACCATGTACTGTTGGAGCGGTGCCCTTAGGGGTCTGGGTGGGGATTTCTTGGTCCCGCACTTGTGCCATTTCCGACGCCATTCTTCCGCCTGTTGTATCATTCCTTTCTAGAAGACTGGGGCTTGCTGCAGCCGATCCACCGTCCGGACGACGCCCGGGTGGCCAGCAGTACGGTTATCATGGACCAATCTCAGCCAATGCGTCCTTTAGATGTTCAAAGGCCTACTGGCAGGCACTGGTCCACCCTAACTCCCTTTGGTTCTTGTTTGTCAAGGCGTGGAGGGGGCGGGCAATCTCGGCAAACTTGGCGATAAACCGCCTGTAATAGGAGGCGAGCCCCAAGAAGCTGCGGACTTGGATGAGGTTTGCTGGAGAGAGCCAATCCCCAATCTTTTTCGGATAGGTCTTCACGCCCTCTGCGGACACCCGATGGCCAAAAAATACACCTCTCTAGGACGGTGGCCAGTCTCTGGAAATACTCGTCAAAATCCTTCCCCCACACGATGACGTCATCCAAGTAGACTATCGCCCCTTGCCACTGCAACCCTCTCAGCACTCTCTCCATGGGGCGCTCGAACGTGACCAGGGCATTACAGAGCCCAAAGGGCATTACCATAAATTGGTAGAGGCCGCTGTGCATCCCAAAGGCTGTCTTCAAGGTCAATGGCCACCCGTCAGCATCTGTTGCCCGAATCGAGGGTACTGAACCACTGGGCCCCACTCAACGCATCCAGATTATCTTCTATACGAGGGATTGGATACGCGTCTTTCAGTGTCACCCTGTTCACCTTCGGATAATCAACACAGAAACGGCCGGAGGCGTCTTTCTTCCGAACCAGCATCACCGGCGAAGACCAGGAGCTGCTGGAGGGCTCTACGTGCGTTTGTTAATGGGCAGTGCCTTGGAGGTTGGCGTATTGGTGCCGCTGTCCCTGTGTTGATCTTATGTCACACCAAGTGGGTCCTGCCCAGCTTACCGTCTTGGCCCGTGAATGCTGCTTGATGTCCAAGCTTGAGCGCTGCCCCTACTGAGGTGAGTGGACCCCCGGGTAAGCAAATCTGGAAGGTGGTCAAGCACCTCTTCGCCAATCGTTGGCCGGAAGTCCCGTCCGGGGCTGCCGGCTGGGCGGGTGCCCTGACTACCCTCTCCTCTAGCTCGATAACGTCCGTCTCCTCCATCGGTGAGAAAAGCGCCACCCGGCTTCATTCGTAGATCGTGACTGGATCCGCCGTCGGGTTGAAAACCCGAATGGGAACGGTGCCATGTTTGGTGTCTACAGGCCGATGGCGACTGCCACTGGACAGCCATCCGAAGCCTCCATGGAGCCACACCAGCGCCCCCACCGGCCTGTCGGCGCCGTCGTTACAGTATCAATTAACGGTAACTCTCAAAACAACGTAAGAACACAGTAAACTCAGTTATCAGCGAAGGGTACCATGCAGATGGATACAATATTGTCAGGAGCCATTATCTTAGAAATCACGGCTTTTATTTCCTTTGGAAGTGATGACCTTTTTACTCACCCAGACGGACGGGAAAGTCGGGCGCATCAGCCATCTTTTTCAGCATCTCGTCCACCTCAGGGTTCGGCATGTAGGCAAGATCAGTTACCGTGGTCAAACCAGCGGAAGCGAAGGCCCTCCACTGCTGCAAGAAGTCCTCTGTCCTCTCCTCCTCGCTGGGAAAAGAGGTTTGCTGCATGACCAGCATGATAGCGGGCTCCTCAAGGAGCTGGCCAGTTGGGTAACCGTTGGCATCCAGCACCACGGTTCCTCCTGATGGACTTTTATAATCTTTGCCAATCTGAAAATAGAATATTGTGCGAGTTAACTTTCAAGAAATGGTGTCAAAAACAAAGGTGTTTAAATATGCCTTCCAAACGGTTAAAACGACAATAATGTTCAAATCATTAAAGACATTGCGAAGTTCACAGCATTGAGACGGGGCCGTGGAGTATAGCGTATAAAGTATTAACCTCGATCGTGCTGAAAAATTCTCTTGAATGCGTTGAGTAACAAGTAAACAATGCATTTCAGTTTGGGGTTTATAATTTAGATTAGTCCACAACGGAAGACGTTTTATACGTTTAAGTTGAAACTTCAATGCCAGTTAATTCTGTTCCCAACTTGACATGTCTACTTGACTTGTCTACTAAATTTACTTACAGGCGGTTGCGGTGCAGCAAGTGCAGGGTGGTTGGCCCAGGCCACGTGACTGCTCTGTCCAATCACGACGATGGGGACGGTAGAAGAGAAGTTGGCATCCAGGAAGTCGGCGCTGAGAGTCGGTAGGTCGGATATGAGCTCAGGGTCCCAACCGAAGAAAATGGCCCAGCTGTCGTTGCTGGGATCTGTCTCAAGCTCGCTGATCTTTTCCATCATCACGGAGCGAATTTTTTCGTAGGACCTAAAAAAGGGTGTTCTTTCAACAATTAACAGTAAGATGTCGTGCATTCAGTCAGTGATTTTACGATTTAAAGAAGAAAACAAAAGAAAATATTTCTACCAAGCGCAATCAATCAGTGGCGTGCAAGGATTGCTACAACCGTTATTCGTGTCGTCATTGAAAGTATTCAGCAAAACAAAACAAAGGTGAGACGAGCAAACGTACCAAACCGATTCGAGACTGTGAACAAACGAAAACGCCAGAAGTAAAACGAGGAAAGCAAACGAAACTGATAGAAAAACACGAAGAAAAATATTAAAGAGATAGAGAGAGAGAGAGAGAGAGAGAGAGAGAG